GATTTTCTCTGTGGACTTTGGTCTGTGAGCTAAAATCACTGGCAGTATCTTTTTCTAATCTGCTTTACTCTTGTCCTTTTAACTGTCTTTTTGACTAACGGCAAGTTCCCTTTGAAGTCTGTATGATTTATTTTTTTATGCTCAAAGGAACTAAGATAAAGATAAAAATACAAAAGCAGTGGCTAAAAGTTTCGAACTTGCCCTTTATCTGTATCCTTTCTAAAAGCCTTACCCACCTGGTTTCCTTTAAGCCAATCCATGCTTCCATCAGCAGCTGATTGTTGTCAAGTTTGATCAGAGTGATCAGTGAAGGGGCTGCAGCTGAGTGTGTGTGTGAGAGAGAGAGAGAGAGAGAGAGAAAAGAATGAAAGAAAAAAGATGTGAAGTTGATGAGGGTTAAACTTGACCAGTGTTTAGGACAGACTGAGAGGTTGGAGGTCAGTGGTGATGAAAGCTGAGACAGGAGGTGGACGAAGATGAGGATGATGATGATGATGAGGATGATGTTTGTCCTTCCTCCTGCTCTTCTCTGGTTTCTTCTTCTTCCTCTTCTTCTCATATTTCCTTCCTGGACAAACAGTGTCTCTACTGTATCTGCAGTGTCGGCTCTCACACTGTAAATAAACCATTCTTCCACCTGAGGATCGGCCTTCTCCACACCTGTGTCCAGGAAACAGTCTCTGAGGTAAAGACTCCTCTCTGTTGTCAACATCCAAAGATGCTGCTGCTACAAAACAAACAAACCTCTAACTGTGATTCACAACAAACTTTTAACTCCACAGCAGCTACGTTTAATGTTTTTCTTCAGTTGCATTTTGGTTTTTTAGATGTATGTAATAGTTGTGACTTCCAGGTTAATTTTGTGTGTTTTTTATGGCACATAAAACAATTTAGCTTCTTGCTGGCTGCCTTAAACTTATTTTGGCCATTTTTAAAATACTTTTGTTTTTGTTTTTTGTCAATGTGAGGTATGTTTATAAAATTGTTCATATAAAAGAAGCTTCATTAATTATTGTTCTGATGGTAAAATCTACCATCAGAACAACAGTCACATTATTTAAAATGACTGCAGGTTTGTTTCCCTCCTTGCTGTAACTCTTCACAGCTAAGAGCTAACACTTTGTTTTAGTGATTCCGAATGCAAAAATAATTAAAAGCTCAGTTGTTACTGTAGGCATTAGACAGCAGGGGGCAGCATTGTCATTTTCAACAACGCATTCCCTTTCTGTGCGTGTGTGCGTGTGTCTGTTTTGACTCAGACTCAGCACAAATGCCTCCCAGTCATCCCTGAGGTCCTGACCTGGTCCTGTTCTGACCTGGATGTGTTATCTTATGTTGTAAGATGAACAGGAAGTGAGAAGGGTCAACGATGGTGATGTCACACTCATGTTCACTTCATTAGGTCAGGTGGTCAGGTGGTCAAGGGTCAGAATCAGGCTCAAAACAAAACTAGGGTCTGATCATTCATTTGGTCAATTTGGTGCTAACTCTGTACAGAAGTCCATAGAGAAAACGAGTGATTTAAGGCGACAGACGCAGCAGTTGTTGGTCCACTGCTGCTTCCTTCACTAAGTTCAAACCTTAACTTATGACTGAGTGTTGGCAACGACCTGAATATCGTGAATCCTCTGGGTCAGAGGTCAGGGTGTTATCCTCATCTGCAGCTGCCGTGATGACAGACACTCTCCAGACACACACACACACACACACACGTTTTATTAGATGTCACTGGCTGCTCCTGGTGAAAACAAAAAGACCAAGTGTTAATTTTTTCTGCTAAAGCAACAAATCTTTGTATTTCTCCTGGTCCAACTGTCTTGTTCCTGCTCAGTTCAGGTGGCTTATGTTTTTTGTTTTTTTTTTAACATAAATTTTCTCCTCATTCATTCATGTATCTTACATCATGTCTTTTCTTCTCTCTCCTGTGTTCTCCTCCCCTCTCTGTTGTTTATCTTAGGAGCTCCTCCTCCTCTTTCCTCCTCTCTTTTCTCCTCCTCTAATTCCATCCACTCTCCACTCTGCTCAGATTCATGTCTGTGTTTCTGACTGAGGACTGGATTAAAAGCCAAATCAGGAGCCTGCTGTCCATTTGAACTGAGAGTAAGTGACTCTGTGTGTGTGTGTGTGTGTGTGTGTGTGTGTGTGTGTTTGATCCATATCTTTCTGGTTTCTCTGACTCTGTCTGTGGTTGTTCTGTCAAGGACCCTCTGTGTCAGTAGTTGTTAACCAGCAGTAGAGACCGAGTTTCTACAGGTGTACAGCAGTTTGAGGTTGTCTCCTGTGAAAAGAGTAAATATTTGACATTTTTAATCTGTTTTGAATCGTATAAATATTCATGAAATAAGGTGTTGGACAAACGAGACAGAAGTTAAAAATAAATAAGAGTTAATGATTAGTTGTTTCACTTGATTAATTATGTTGGAACTTCTTCATATGGATAAAAAAGCAGTGGACTCCAGACTCCTATTGGCTCCTCCAGCTGCCAATCAAGTCCTGTTTTATCTTCTGTTTCCCTCTTAATATGACCCTCAATAACAAACTGAAGGAAAACAGGAACTGGACTGGAGGACGTTGACTGACTTTAAAAATACTGACACTGACTCACAGTAGACGCGTAACGTTTAAAACTATCAGAGTCTCCATCTAGTGGCTGACACCGGTAAAATGTACAAATCACTTATTGTCTCTTGTAACTTTTCTAACAGAAAACTGATGTTTGTAAACCACTCTCGCACCCACTGACCATTGATAAAATCGTGAATTTCAGCTCACAGACACAGGAACTGACCCACTGCTGCTTCCTGTGGTCATCACTGCTGAATGATATTGAATTGGATATTGTTGATCCTCCTGCCCTGCTAACCATCTCTTACCGTCAGTCATGACCACACCGTTAGAGCAAAAACAAAGCTTCTTTATCCTTTAACTCCTTTGATGTGTTTTTAATGCAGTGAAGAGTGTGATTTACGGTGGTACAGTAACTCACACTCTGTTGACGTCATCGTCAGTAAACTCTGGGCTAAATGTGGACAAACAAAGGGGTTAATATGACGTTAAAACAGCGCGGAGGAGCCGAGAAGTGAGAGGTTAGTGAGTCAGAGCGGCAACAGTAGCATCTGTTAACAATCACAGCACAGTCTGAACATTTATCACTGGATCTGAGAACACAATAACAAACAGCTCACCCACGAGGCAAGGAACCACAGGACACGCACTTTCACAGCACTTTGCAGCGCTTCACTGCACTTTACAGCTCATTAGCAGGTCACAACAATTTACAGCAATATACAAAAATTTACATTCCTGCGTTAGTTCTATGCAGAACTTCACAGCCATCTTCAGAAATAACAAAGACAGATTGTTAGCAGTTTACTAGGTTACATCACTGCACATCACGCAGCCACAATCTTCACAGCTTGTTACGGCTTGTTACGGCACTAACTGCGGTTACAGCAGTTTACTTCGATAACATGAACAGTACATAGACTAAACAGAGGGAACTTGCTCAGAACATCATCAGCCCTTTGTGGACTTTTTTTGCTTTAATCTAAAACAAACTTTTATTCAAGAAAAACCAGGTCATCCTTCAGTGTAACCCTCCCCAGGCTTCAGGAATTATATAAGCATCATAGTACAGTTGAAACAGTACCACAGCGGCACAGGCCCTGGGGTGTGGAGCTGACTCTGCTTGTGCTGACTCCTCCTCTGCTTCACTGCTCACAGATAATAAAGCTGATGATCAGCAGCTCCTTCTCCAACCACTCTGTGTCAAACTGAAGATTAAGAACTGTTACATAAACCAAGCTGCCGGTGTTTACACTTCACTCCTTACATCAGTGAAAAGGGAGCTGTCCAGAGCTGCTTCCTGCTGCACAGGGACGAGCACTCCTCTGGTCACTCCTCTGGTCACTCCTCTGATCTTATCACACTCGTGGTTGCTCCTCTGTACACTCCTGTTAGTCAATGGCTTCTAGATCGATAGATAGACAGATAGCACTTTATTAATCCCTCTGGAGTTCCCTTCAGGAAACTTAGGTCATTTCTATGGTCACTCCTGTGATGACACCGTGAATCACTCCTTTGATCTGATACCTGCCCTGATCACTCCTCTGGTCATTCCTTTGATCTGAACACTCCTATAGTCTCCTCTGATCACCCCTTTCCTCTGATCAATCCTCTGATCTGATACCTGCTCTGATCACTCTGCTGGTCACTCCTTTGATCTGAACACTCCTCTAGTATCTTCTCTGATCACTCCTCTCCTCTGAACGCTCCCCTTGTCACTCCTTTGATGTGATCACTCCTCTGATCACTCCTCTATTATGGAGCATGGTTGTCCAGAAGTGTTGTTCCAGCTTTGGAAGTGGGTCTAGCATACAGTAATACTCCAGTCTACTATAGACCTGAGTCGGTCTGTAATTGGTTGCACTCTGGAGAAGGAAAGTGAGCTGTTCATGAACTGTTTTTTTTTTTATTTTTTTATCATTATCAAACACGGTCATTAAATGTTCAGCAGCCGTGGATGAAATGTGCAGATACAACACTTTCAGTCAGAGTCAGTGGGTCTTGTCCTGCTGCAGGCTGCGTCCTTCTGAAGCAGACTCATCTTCTCCATCGTGTTTGAATCACTTTCACTCAGGGGAGAGTTTGTTTCAGTCCCATTTAAATGAACTAAGTGGGTTTATACAGGGGGCGGGGGCATACCCAGGGGCCACGGAGGGAAACTGATAGAGATCCAGGACATCCTGCTGCCAAAACTAACCAACAAGACTTATTTACTGCTTTTTAAATGGAACCAGTGTCTGCACCGACTGATGTGGTTCCAGTCCACCTGAGGGAGAGCAGGGACAGGAACCAGTGATTGAAGAGCAGAAAGTGTTGTGCTGAGTGTGGGGAGATGTTGTGACCGCAGCCCAATGAAACCCAGAAGAACCTGGAGCCAACATGGAGGTTCAGAGCTGCTCCAGGTTCAAACAGAAGATGTTGATGACAGCGTTTGGGTCAGAGGAGTCTGTACATAACACAGTTACTACTACATTGACCAGGGGCTGCATTCAATGAGCTCAGCAGCAGTTGTTGTTGTTGTTGTTGTTGTTGTTGTTGTTGTTGTGTGTGTCTGTTGGTGAAACAGACGTCGGTCAGTTCCAGCGCTCTGTGAAAAAAGTTTCAGCAGCATCTAGTTATGGAAGAACATGGAAGTTTCTAGTGGCTGATTTCTTTTGACTGTATTTCCTGCTGCTGATCTAAGGCAGTGGCAGTCCCCAACATATTTTGCGCCACAGAGTGATTAAATGTCTGACATTTTTTTCACGGACTGGCCTTTAATAAAATGATACGACCAGCATAAAAACTGGTATTCTCTAAATATAATAATAAAGCTGTGTGTGTGTCACTTTATTGGCAGCGTCCTGGTAACATCCAAACATCAGACGTCTCCTCGTCTTGCTGCTCCTCTCTGAACTCCTCTGGCTTCTGTCCTCCAGGCCAACCACACTGGAACCGCCATGTTGGGCCAAAGTGTTCGGCTCCAGCCGGTACCGATCCAGAGCCTGTCAGAACTGGAGCGAGCCCGCTTACAGGAGGTGGCGCTGTACCACCTGGAGGAGCTGGACCTGGAGTTTAAGATCAGCATCCCAAAAGGTTGGACCAAAACACAAACAGTTGTTCTGGGTCAGTGTGTGTGTGTGTGTGTGTGTGTGTGTGTGTGTCAGGGTATATCTGTGTGTGTGGATCCTCAGAGATCTGTGTGTGTGTGTGTGTGTCAGTCAGGGTATATCTGTGAGACTGATCACAGGGTCTGACAGAAAAGAACAACTGTGTGTGCAGCTCGGACCATATTCTCAGACTGCTGTTCTCCGTGGAGTCGTTGACCTCTGACCTCCTGTGAACAGTGTTTCAGAGAAACACCGTTACATCAAGGTTTTCTTTCACTGATCTCCAGCAGATTCTCAGAGCTCTGACTGTTTTTCCACTGAACTCCCACACCATGTTTTAAACTAAACAAAAACCACTGAAGAAGAAACGGCATCACACGGCCTTTACAGTAAAGAAGTCCACAGAGAAATCAGGGATTTAAAGGCACAGTGACAGCAGTTGATCAAACGTGACGTTTAGAGATAATTGACGGCAGATTGTAGTTCCTCTGTGATAATCTGTGGTTCACACAGCGATCAACTGCATCTGGTCAAGATTAGGTGAATTAGTATGTGTTTGTATTTATTCTGAGGACACAGAGACAGTGTCTGGTTATTTACTCTCTTGTTTACGCCATCGGTGCAGGAACAAACAGTTCCTTCAGTCTGAGCTCCAAGTCAAGTCGGGGGAATGTTCTTCCCCTTCATTCCTTCCCTGGGGTGAACTGAAATCTTCTGCCTCAGTCTGTGGCTCCTCCACCACACCGCCGTTCCCCCGTGTCTGATGTTTGTGTTGACAGAAAAAAGAAAAGAGCAGGGGGAGAAAAAGGGTGGGAAAGACAAGGAAGGATAGAGGAAAATAGGAAGAACAGGAGGAACAAATTGGAGGAGAACTGAAGGTGTGTGTGTGTGTGTGTGCGCGCCTACGTGTTTGGATTCAAGTGTTCATTCTGATAATAAACGTTCATTTCCTGTGCTTGTGGGAACTCCACTCCATTATTCCCCAAAGACCAGCAGTTTATTTAAATCCTCTCAAAGGATGGAGGGAAAACAGACAAATGAAAAGGGAGGTGGAGAGAGGAGAAGAGAGGAGGAGGAGGGGGGAGGGAGAGGGAGGAGGAGGAGGAGGTCGAACGTAAGAGAAGAAACACTGGAAATGAAGAAAAACTGAAAACAAGTGTTACATTTTAACTTTACTCTCCCCTCTCCTTCTCCTCCCCTGTCCTTCACCTCCCCTGTCCTTCACCTCCCCCCCTCACCTCCCCCTCCTTCACCTCCCCCCCTCACCTCCCCCTCCTTCACCTCTCCTCCCCTTCTCCTCCCCCCTCCTTCACCCCCCCCTCCTTCACCCCCCCTCTCCTTCTCCTCCCCCCTCTTTCACCTCCCCCGTCCTTCACCTCCCCCGTCCTTCACCTCCCCTGTCCTTCGCCTCCCCTGTCCTTCGCCTCCCCTGTCCTTCGCCTCCCCTGTCCTTCACCCCCCCCTCCTTCACCTCCCCCCCTCACCTCCCCCCCCCCTCACCTCCCCCCCCCCTCACCTCCCCCTCCTTCACCTCTCCTCCCCTTCTCCTCCCCCCTCCTTCACCTCCCCTCTCCCTCCCCTCCCCTGTCCTTCACCCCCCCCTCCTTCACCCCCCCCTCCTTCACCCCCCCCTCCTTCACCTCTCCTCCCCTTCTCCTCCCCCCCCCCTCACCTCCCCCTCCTTCACCTCCCTCTCCTTCACCTCCCCCCTCCTTCTCCCCCCCCCCCCCCCCTTCCCCTCCCCTCTCCCTCCCCTCCCCTGTCCTTCGCCTCCCCTGTCCTTCACCTCCCCTGTCCCTCCCCTCCCCTGTCCTTCACCTCCCCTTTCCTTCACCTCCCCTGTCCTTCACCTCCCCCCCCCCTCACCTCCCCCTCCTTCACCTCCCTCTCCTTCACCTCCCCCCCTCACCTCCTCTAGAACATGTTTCTCTGCCGACTCCTGACTCCAGTCTGAAAACTGAACTGAAGAGTTTTTTTTCTTCTTCTTTCTCCACAGAAACACAGAAACGTAGAAAATCTCTGCGCAGGAAGTTTGACTCTTTCTCCAGGGAGAAGAAGGAGCAGGGTGAGTGGTGTCTCCTCGCTCCTCCTTATCAGTGGGTATGTTTAGATGTCCTCCTCTGGTGGACTCTGAGGAACAAAGTCCTCTCTGTTGGAGAGGAAACTCCATCAGTTCTGCTGACGTGAGTTGGTTCAGAACAGCTTTCCTCCTTCTGACAACAACACACTATCACGATCATCTCTGTCAGACATCTTCCACACCAAAGTCCATGGAGAAAATCAATGATTTTAACTCACGGGGACTCAGGAGCTGCTGGTCCGCTGCTGCTCCCTGTGGTCAGTTTGTGTCACTGGAGTAAATTTGGAAAGAGGATTTGAAGCTGTCAGGTGGTAGTGTAACACATTTAGTGAGCATAGGGATGAAGGCAGCAGGACAACCAACAGCTGCTGTGACTCTAGAATCACTGAATTTCTCTATGGACTTCTGTATGAGAGGGTGAGTTTCCTCAGATTACTCTGGACTACAGCTGAAGTCAACGTGAGGATTTAAATCCTTTATTCAGCGTCTTAGCTGTTAATGAAGACGGAACATGAGGAGCTGGCAGAGCGCCCCCTGGCTCTGACTGAAGGTCATGAGAGTGCTGGACTAAAAAGTTCCTCAGGTGACAGATTAATCCTCAGTTAAGAAGATAAATCCCAGAGAGGAAGCTGAGGACTGATCTGCAGAGGAACGCTGCGCTCCTCACTGGTCTCTTCATAGGAAAAATGAAGGAAAATTCTGGATTCTCTGGAAATTATTTTGTTCATGTGTGTGCTTGTTTTTCAAGTCCTTCTCATTCCCAGAGGAGGAGGATTTTCCTGCAGCTGCTCTGCTGATGAGGCAGAAACAGACTTCAGGAAAATCCACATTTAAAAATATCCGCGATGAGTTTTTGTTTTTGTTCAGGAACAGTGAGGTGAAACGAAGCAGTTTGGTTCAATTCTGTTCTCTTAATCAGAACTATTATGTTTTAAATACAGTATTTAGTATACAGTATTTAGTATTTAGTATTCCCTTTACAAGTTTGTTTCACACATATAACTGATAAACATAATTCAAACTTTATTTTTTTCCTGAGGGTCAATTAAATTCAGCAGTCGTGCATACAAACATACATTTAAACATCAAGTGTATAAATATGTCCAAACCCCCCCAAAAACCCAAAGTGAATCTGTCCTCTCCTCAGAAACCGCTCCGAAGGCCTTTGGAATTCCACTCTCCCAGGTCATCGCCAACGACCACGCCTACAAGCGTCGTCAGGATGCAGTGAAGGAGAGCAGACGGGATTGTCTGGACCTGGAGGCCACCATCCTGAGGTTCAGAGCCGAGAAACAAAAGATGTTCTTTAATGGTACCAAGGCACCAGGCCCTGACTCTGTGGAACCGATCATAGACCCTCACCACAAACCACTGTCACCAACCTTCCTGGACAACAGCGGACGAGGACACAGGAGGGTACGTTTCCAAAAACCTAATCTGGATTAGGGATTAAATATCCCACAGACTACAGGAAAATCTTTTAGGAAAATCTTTTCCTTAGTTCTCCAGATTCCCAGGATTAATGGATGGAAACATTTTTTTTAAATAAATAATTACTAAACCACAAAATAAGATTTAAAGCCAAAATTGCCTTTTATTTATTTATTTAATTATTTTTAAACTTTATTTTATTAGTTTTTATGGGCATCTATGGCAAAACACAATGGTGGTCTTCAAAATTAAGAGCTGACTAAATCAGGTCATGGGTTCGGGTTACAGTGTCACCGTGCAGAGACATCAAGTTTAAAAAGGAAAAGTCCAAATGTATCCACATAGAAAGTACATCCAAAGGCAAACTCATCTTCCATCTGTGTAGGTCCTCCATCTTTTCCAATATTGATCACCTTTTCCGGTGCGTGACCTCAAGGAAAATGTCAATCTTTCCATGTTGTAAATTTCTTCAACTATTTGTATCCAGTCTGAATTTGTCGGGGATTCGTTACTCAACCCTTTCCTGGTTATTGCCTTTTTGCAACCTGCCAAAATGATTGTAATAGATATCTGTCTTGTTTATTTATATTAGCTGGTGTGTTTGCCAAATATACAACACCAAAGGTTGCCTTTTATTTATTTTAATTTTTTATGGCAAAAATCTGATGAGAAACATTCCTGAACAGTGCAGGAACTTTGACCTTTGACCTGCAGCACAAACTGGAAACCAGAGCTGGATCCAGAGCTGGTTTCCAGTTTCTGCCAAATAATAGGTGTGTGGGTGTGTGTGTGTGTGTGAGAGAGAGAGAGAGAGAGAGAGCGAGCACAAATGAATCATGAACACGTGTACTGTTGTTGGTTGATCATTTAATCATCTCCACAACTTGAAAAAAGTTTAAAATAATTTATTTTTAGCTGAACTCAACCAGAAGTTGTTTTTTTCCTGTTGAGGATTTCTTTGTTTCTTTAGGATCTGAATGAGATCATGTTTGAAGATTTGATTCTCCTCAGTTCCTTTGTCCTCACCCCTGGTTCTTCTCCCTCCTCTTCCTCCCCTCTCCCTCCTCTCCCTCCTCTCCCTCCTCTCCCTCCTCTCCCTCCTGCTTGGCAGGGAGGTCTGTCAGTCGACTCCATCTCTGACCTTGTAGAAAGTCAGTCCCGCCTGTTGGAGGCGCTACAGCTCTCTCACCCTGCCGAACTGGAGTTGAAGAAGTCCCTGAGCAGTGGAGCTGGCTCTTCAGAGACCAGGACCCAGACCAAACTGAGTCTCAACCCCATTTACAGACAAGTCCCACGTGTTGTGGACCACTGCTGCGCCCACATCCTCACCTACGGTCAGAGAAGTCGCCACACAATCGACAGGTTCACACAGAACACAGTGGTGGTTACGTTCAAGGTCTTATGAAGCTGTAGATTCACCAGAGGCCGACTGTACTGTACTGTACAGTACTGTACCGTACTGTACTGTAATGCACCG